TTATAAGGTTACTGTGATTGATGGTATCAAATGCTGATAAGAAACCCAGTACAACTAGTAGTGGGCTCCCCCTGTCTTTGTGGTAGCTTAGGTCATCCACCAAGGTTATTTCTGTTCCAAACCAGGCATGAATCCAGAGTGAAAATAACAAGAAATAACAAGCTTCGTGTTAAGTTGTTTTTGCCTGCTGCTCCTGACTGTTTCTGTTGTTTTGCCATTCTGGAGGGATGTTGTTATTATTGTTGAAAATTGCTTTCTCTACTGTGAGCAGAGTAGAAAGGCAGGGTGCGAAATAAATAAATGCAAGATGGGCATGACATTTGGCTCCTAGCAGAGATCAATATTTAGGCCTGGAAAAGCTTTAGGGGCGAAAGAGATGGCCCTTTGCAGCAGCTTCCCTGTGGCTTGGGAGTGTGTCTGTTAGATGACGCGTGTTCTCAAGCTGCCGTGAGGCTGTCGTGAAGCTGCCCAGACATATTGACATTGCAGCGGCTTTTTGGTGCTCCAGTGGTGTGGTTTTTAAAAACTCTGGTTTGGGGATGTGGCATGTGGTTGCTGCGGCCCCAACCCGGCGATCAAAGGGGTGGCATGACACCTCACCTTCAGCGTGGTCTGTTTTGCCCCATAGTTAAGATGGACTGTTGCCTGTTAGACTCTGATATGGGACAGAGGCAATACCCATAGTAGTCAGCAACAAAGACCTTTCTTTCAGAGTCAAGATTTAATTTATAAGTAGATAATCTCCCCCCCACACACACTTGTATACATGTTCAATTCACATAATAGAAGATTCAGAGACATAGTGGTATCAGCCTGGAATATCATTATGCTAAGAGATCTTGTAGTACCTTTGGGACTAACTGTGTAGAAGAAGTTGTAGCTTAAGCTTTTGTAGACTTGGTCTACTTTCTCATATGCATGATGCTTCTGAGGAAGTAGACAAAGGGCCTTTGCAGACTCTCAGAAATAATGCAGCTTGAGGCCACTTTAACTGCCCTGGTTCAGTGCTAGGGAATCATGGGAACTGTAGCTTATTGTGGCACCAGCGCTCTCTGACAGAGAAGGCTCAATGTCTCAGAAAAAAAACTACAGTTCCCATGATTCCCTATCATTGAGCCAGGACAATTAAAGTGGTCTCAAACTGGATTATTTCTGGCAGTCTGTTCAGGCCCAAAGTCTACAAAAATTTATGCTACAACTTCTTTTGCATAGATAGTCTCAAAGGTGCTACAAAATCCCTTTCCATAATGATAGAAAATTATAACAGATGTCATAAAATATTATTACAGAGAATGTGTTCAACCCGATGGAGTACACTTTCAGACAAGGAGGTGACTTTTTAAATCCCACTTTCCAGACTGAAGATCAAATTCAGAACTGCGTTTGCCATCATAGCTGCCTTATACCTTATTAGGCTATGAGAAATTTAGGAATAAACAAAATCTACACACCTACAACCTGACATTCTAAAAATAAATTCAATCATTCATATGCCTGTAGCAAGGAAATGGAAAATTGTTTTGTGCATTAGGATATTAATTCTTTAGTGCTAACGTTAAATGACTTTCTAATTAAATATCTCAGCATTGAGAAGAGTCTTATTTAGGACTTAATGAGCAAATGGAATTAATTTATGTGTGTGCCCTTAAAAGGTTCCCAAAATAGGATGTTGCAATTTGTATTCCAAAATAGATGTTTGTGAAGACTGATTTCTATTAGTTTCCAAAAGGACAGGTTGTAATGATGACTGAAATATTGATCGCTATTATTTTGGCGACTGGTTAAATAAGGTGTCAAGAGCCTTTGGGGACTGGTGGGCACATCTGGAATTTCAACAGTACTTTGGATACTTTCAGAAAATGGCTGCTGTGGTAGGACAAATCACAAATTGGCTGCTGTAGCCATACATTTTATGAATCCACATTCATCTACTCTCCACATCCCATCTACTGTCCCCGCAGCTATTCTTTCTAGCCTGCTGAAGGCTGTTCTAGCACCCTTTTCCTAAAGAATGGTTAATAGGCAGACAGCTGCAGCTAGGTTTCCCAGATCTCAGTGTCTCAGTGTCTGGTCCTTGTTCTTGTTATAAGGGGGAATTTCTAGGCAAGAGTGCTGTCCTGAAGGGTTTCCTTTCGGTGGGAGGGGGTTATTTTTGCAGGGTGCTTTGGAGCAATTGCTGCAGAGCTTCCAGGGTGTCTTGGCTTATTTGTTCCCTCTCCCTTCTAAAAAGCTTCTCAAAGTGCCAATAGCACAAGGGCATAGTGCGAGGGGAAATATTTGCTGCCCCAGAGGCTGGCAAATACAGGATTGCTGTTTTGTGGATTTTCTTATTGTGTTGTTAATTTTCTTGCTTCTGTTCCCATGTTCCTCACTCTTACATTCTTCTCTTTCTTCTCACTTTTTTCTCATTCTTCACATCCACTTCAGTTCTTGGCTAAACATTTTCTCTCCCATACCGTTTTTTGTCCTCTTTTTCCTCCTCGCACACTTTACTTTCCCTTCCCTTATCTTTCTCTCCTCCTCCTCCTAGTTACACTTGTTTTCTCTCTCATTCCCCTTGCCTTTTCTTACCCACTTTTGCTTCCCTCCTTAATCCTCCTGGCTATTTTCCTCCATCCCACCTCTCTCATTGTCTTTCTCCTTCTCACCTAGTTCTTCTAGCTGCACTCATCATCTGTCTTCTTCTTCCCTTCTGTCTGTCCAACTGTATCTCCTCTTTTCCAAAACGTTAAAACCATTACAGTGTTATGTTCAATTCTCATTTTAAAGTTGTAGATTCCATTAAAATCAACAGGGTTTTTCTGAATAGTCATTGATGTATAGGATTGCCATGTTGGTCTCTTTTGTCCTGTTTCTCTGTCTCCCTCATTAACATTATCATGTCTTCCACTTTCCCAAAATACTTGTTGATTATTAATAACATCATCATCATTATGGTTATGATGTGATTATTTGAAGGTTGAGGGAGGATTTCACAACTGACTGTAAAACAAGGAAATGTGGCCATAGAGGTGCACTGGAAAATAGAGCAACAACAAAAGCAGAAAGACTTTCATTTTGTTTGGAAAGGTATCTTTGTCTAGTCCACAACTCCTATGTGTCTTTAAAAGCACCATTTGTAAAAGTATTAAGCAGTACTGGGAAAAGCCCCCCCCCCCCCCCCCCCCCCCAATACTTAATGCAGAACTTAGGATAACTTTCTGGCTGGATAATAACACTGGTAAGATATTAGAAGCGGTGATATATATGTTTTCCTTAAAATAAAAACAGTTACAATACAACATAAGATATCCACATAACATAAAATATTTACAAAAACCATACAATTTTCTTCCTGATTTTTTTCTTTTGGATTCTTGATATTTTTACATTGTTTACCTTCAGAATCTTCTCTGTCATTTTGAGTCCATATTTACGGTATATATTTATTCTAGTATCTTTATGCACCACTTCAATACTTAGTCTAAGCCACTCATTTTAAAATCAGTTTTTTCTATCCCAAACCAATAACCATGTTTGTATCCCACTCTTTTTTTAATAGTTAATCAATGCTCCACAGTCTGACTTAAAACTATCTAATGTTTTTTTTTCCTGTCAAATGTGTCAGTTTATCTCTTTCCATAAAATAATATAGTTTTAGAATCCATTCTTTTATATTTGGAAGTTCTTTCCTATTCCACTTAGTTGCATATAATATTTTTGCTGCTGTCGTCATATAGAATAACACTTTTCTGTATTTTTTTTTCTAAATTTTCATTTACAACCATATTCAGTAAATACATTTTAGGGTCTGCACATTCTTTAATATTCAAATTTCCTTTACTTGAGTGTGTGTCATATTCCAATATTCTTTTGTCCTTTTACATAGCCATCAGCTATGATAAAAAGTGCCCAGATCATCTTCATATTTCCAACACAGATTTTTTTTTTACATTTTTGTTCATTTTTGTTAGCCTGTTAGAAGCAGTGTTTACAGTGATGTTAAAAATAGTGCTGGGAAAATGTTTATGTGTTTCTGTTCAATGTAGAGCCTAGGCAACCTTAATTTGCAACCAGATAAATGTTTCCTGTTTGTCAGGTTTTTTTTTTTTTTAAAAAAAATGAATGCCATGCTATTAGCAGTTGTGATTGATTGTTATGTACATCTTGCTTATTGATATCACCAGGGACTTCCTACTTAACATATCTGGAGATCATAAGGACTATCCTTGAGTATCAGATTTTGGTGCTGCCTCCTCAAAAGGGTTTTTTGTGGATTTTGAGGCCTGCCACATTTCAGTGAAGAAGTGTCTGGCTTTCCGCTATTTGCCATCTTCACTCCCTATGAGTGCTTGGCTGGGGCTATGTAGAGCCCAAAGGCATTATGAAAAATGAGATGATGATTACAGGCTGCAAGCCAGCTATTTTGCTTTGCAGCTGGCCATGACAAGTTAAGTAAGTGAGTAAATAAATAAAATGGGGGCGGAAGACCTTAACAGGCATCAAGGGGGATGTTCATGAGTGCATTTGCATCCTTAAGAGCCATATTTCAGACCTCAGTTATAACATGTTATGCAACAGTTATATTGCAATCAATTAACTTTTCACCATGTTGAAATAGCATCATGTTTTTAATGTTTGTTTGTTTTACTTACATTAGTTTTGCCCTATAGCTGGAATGTATCTTGGATCTAAAGTTGTATATCTTGGATCTAAGCAAAATCTACAGTCAGAGAGTACCAAAAGTTAAGTGTATTTTAACTATGTGTTTTTAAAAACCTGTTGTAAGCCACTTTGAGTCTTGAACAGGGAAAAAGGTAGGTATGAATGAATGAACAAATAAATACTGTAATATGGCCTAGAGAAGTGGATAAACTTCCAAATTCTTCAGAACTTAATATTAGACCTAGATGGTAGAAAAATGGGTGTGGGGGAGAAACAGCTAAGGTTTTTAAAGCCAAATTTTATGGGCCTGAAAGACTAAATCCAATCATTAGTCTCAAGTAGAGCAGACCAAGAGAGCCAGTGTGGCATAGTGGTTTGAGTGCTGGACTATGACTCTGGAGACCAGGATTCAACACCCTGCTTGACCATGAAACCCACTGTTGGCCTTGGGTAAGTCACATGCTCTCAGCTTCAGGGGAAGGCAATGGCAAAACTCCTCTGAACAAATCTTGCCAGGAAAACCCCATGATAGGTTCATCTTAGGATTGCCATAAATTGGAAATGAATTAAAGGCACATCACAACTAGAGCAGACCCATTGAATCAATAAGACTTACAGACGTTTTGACTTATCATGTGCAGAAAACCATAAGAGGACAAGTTCTACATGTTGTGAGATGGTCAACTGTTTATTTTATTTTTTTAAAAAGCCCAATGCATTTAAGCACATTGGACTTTTTTTTTTTAAGAACAGACTATCTCAGTGCATGTATTCTTACTGGGGTTTTTATTTGTTTGTTTTGTCTTTTGCTTTTAATGTGCTTTTCAGTATTGTCTCTATGACTTACCAAGTGCCCCTTAAATTCAGTGCCTCTATTCTAGCTGGGACTAACAATTGACATTATCCAAAAGTCTGGAATTAGACCCAGTATGCCCAGTTGTCAGCCTTTCTGCTCCCAGATTTCGGGACTCTCTCCCTAGGAAGACTAAGGATGGATCCCTCCCTGATCTCTTTCCACTTGCAAGTGAAAAAAATTCCTATTCTCTCAGGATTTTAGGAATCAACTGTGATATGCTTTCAATAGTGTGCTGTTTTGTTTATTTTTTTATTCTGCTTTTTAATGCATATTAAATGGTTTCAACACTATATATTGTTTAATTGCTTTCAAATAACTTATGTATTTTTATTTATGCTTTTGTTTGTTTTTAAATCTATACTTATTTAAAATAATTTTTTGTTTACTTGCAAAAGGGATCTCAGTTACATACCATAATGTTCCAGTATAATAAAAGCAGGAAAATAAATAAAAGCACAAAAGGAGGGAAAATAATAGCATTGGTTATAAGTTTCTATAAAAGCTGACCAGATGTCCAAATATAAGTCTATTTGTATGTTTTATCTATCCCTCATTCTTTAAAATGTTGAAAGCAATGTTAGATCTTCTATCCATTGGATCACAAGTGGAAAAATGATATTTCCAGTAACAAAGTAGCAATCTTTTAGCAGTTAAAAGGGTGCAAAAAATCCAATTCCATTGGCCATTCGTCAGTTTCCATGAAACAGGTAAATAATTTAAAAGAATATGCATTTGTAATCTGTACTCATTTTAATAATTTGAAAGCTGCCTTGAGTTCCATTAGGAAGGTCGAATATAAATTAATAAAATAATAATTTTAAAAAATGATGGGAATTATGATTCAGCATCAGGGAGCTACTATCCCATTAATCAGTTGATTGTTTTCACTCATCGTAGGGTTGGCTTATCAGCCGTGGACACATCCATCCTGTTCATAAGATGTTTTCTTTGTTAAACTCAGCCAAACATTTTTCTCTCCTTTGTTTTTGGGGGCTCCCTTTGCAGGCATTAACAACTGGCAGCATCCCAGGCTTCATTGATGTCATCATGAACCTCAATTCTCCTGCCTTGCTGGAGGACAACTTGATCTGGCAGGCCAAAGCAGCTGGGAAGAGGATAATCTTTTACGGTGATGACACTTGGGTTAGACTGTTTCCAAAGCATTTTGTAGAATATGATGGAACAACATCCTTTTTTGTCTCTGACTACACTGAGGTGAGAAGTTCATTAGGTGCACTGATGTAAGAAGGGACATGGTTGGATCAGCAGGTATATAATTGCTTACATCAAATTTTTTCTATGTATGTTTTAAAAAAATTAACGTAATGCCTGCTAGTTGAAAATTAGGTTATTATATTCTTAAACCGTATTTTAGGCTGAATCCATATTGCAGAAATGGTGCTGTTTAGCACTGCTTTAAATGTCATGGTTCCATCTTCTGGAATCCTTGGATTTGTAGTTCTTTGTTGCACCAGAGCTCTCTGACAGATAAGGCCAAATATCTCACAAAACTACAAATCCCAGAATTCCAAAGTAAACTGCTGTTGGGGTCAAACTGCATTATTTATGCAGTGCAGATTCAGCTGTTGTCACTACTAGTTTCCAAATTTGGGTAATTATTATGTTTTCATTCTTTCTCATGTTCCAAGTGGGTTGTTTCTGTTGTTGATTTTTGTTTGTTGAATTGCCCCCCCCCCCACACCATTTCTTAGTAGCTGGAGCAAATATTTGACACCTTCTGTCTCCCCACCTTGGAGAAGTTCTAGATCATGATTGGCAGCATTGCAGGATTTAGATTCCATTTCATACCACTCCTGGATCTCCCACAGGGCCTTTCTAAATGGAAGTAATCAGTTTCTGGTTTTAAAAATCTGAGAGGGGGTGGGAGGTAAAACAAAATGCAGGAGGAGAATTGTGGTCCCTAGAGACACAGATTCCCCCCCCCCCATGAAAATATTGGTCCTGTAAAAAATGGCCTTAAGAACCTCATGCAGCCCCTGAGCCATGTGATTATCACTGCTGTTCTAATTCTTCCATGTGTGATCCTTTCAAAATTTCAAGTCAGCAAATCTTACTTCAGCCTGAACAAAGGCCCAGAGACTTAGTGCCATTGGGCCATCTGCTCTTAGTGGTAGTAATTTGTGAGGAGCTCAGTCTGATTCACTCTTATTATTTATTCACCACAGTTCTATGCTATCCTTTCTCTGCCAAAGTTGGCTTATATTTTCCCAAATACAGAGCCCCAGAGGAAAATAACCATAATGTCACTCAATCCCAGCTGAGCCATGGGAAGGGTTGCCATCTTTTTCCTTCTTCCTTTGCTGCAGCTGGATGAAATGTCCCTCTACTTCCCCATGATGTATTTAACTGAAGATGCTAGTGATTGAAATCTTTGGCTTTTGCTGTGCATAGCATGTAACTAATTCTTTTGTTGTTTAATTTTATATCCTTCCTTTCTGTATAATGGTGTCCAAAGCAACAAGAGAAAATGTGAAATAGGAATAGACACATCCTATAAAATAGCATATCATACAAAGCAGGCAAAACACAGATCAACAAAACAGCTAGTTAAAATGAGAGTAGCAGAATACAGCTGGTCCTTTCTTGCGCTTGTGTCTAGATGCCTGAGCACCTGGACAGTCTTATGTTTCCTCTTAATCACTTATCATAGGACATGAAGACTTCTGGGAGTTGAGGTCTAAGACACATGGAGAGCCAAAGTTTCTTAATCCCTGACCTTGATCAGTGTTTCTTCCTCCTTTGCTCTAGGTCCTTCTCTGTCTTTCTCTCTTTGCATTTTGGATAGAAAACAGTATATTTTGTTTAACCTCCCCCCCAACCCCCCCCCCCACAAAACCCCTCAAAACACTATTTTGTACAAAAAAATATTCTGTTTATGTAAAATCAGTAATTTTTGCACAAAAACAAGACTTACTGTGTACAAGCAAATTTTCTGCAGAAGACTTCCTGAGATGTGAAAAATATCATAGGAGGCAACCATTTTCCAGATAAGTGTTTCATTGTATCAAAACATGTTTTATTGTCAGAACTAGAACATTTAGAAGTGTTCTTTACATTGCAAGTTGAAAGTTAGTGCATCTAATAGATGTCTTCTCTCCTTCAGCATGCTATTTTACCTTTGTGGAAGAAGTGTTGGTCTTCTTAAAGAATTACCCCATTACACAGCATAACCTCTTTCCAGTTCCCATTGTGCACATTATCTGTACCAGAGATTTTATTCCTGGGTGAAGGATTTGTTACTTGATCCTGTAAATTGTATAAACTAGACGTATGAACAGTACCATGAGCCTGAATGTAGATTTTAATTTATTTTAGCTTTTTGCTTTCCCTCAAGGTTGACAACAATGTGACCAGACACTTGGATCATGTGCTGAAAAGAGAAGACTGGGATTTACTCATCCTTCACTACTTAGGGCTGGATCATATTGGCCACCTGAGTGGACCAAACAGCCCTTTAGTAGGGCCAAAACTTTCTGAAATGGATAACATCATCAAGAAAATCCATATTTCCCTTTTCTCCAAGGTGAAATGCTTATTTATGGATGTGAATCTTGTTTAATTGTGTGAATAGGAATGTCATGTCAAGTCTTGTACTTAGTTCCATGTTCATTTTTTTAACAAACCAAAAAACCAACTACATTCAGTAAGTTTGGGCTTATTCCCAAACAAATGTAGACAGGAGCTGCTTCCATGAAGTATATTAATATTGCCTTCAGTGTTTTGGCAAGTTAAGCTGACATTCTAGAATGTGTTACCAAACATATTACAAAGATGAGTAATATACAACACCATTAATATACATAGTATGTTAGGGCAGAGGAAAACCTAGGTTTGCTCCTCACATATTCATTTAACAGGGAGCAGTGTCCAGTCTCTGCATCCAACAAGTGCAGACATATGTGATATGCCTATTTGTTGTGCACAGATTTCACATTTTTCAATAAAACTAATACAAGTTGAGTCTCGCTTATGCAAAAATTCAAAATCTGAAATGCTCAAAATCTAAAACTTCTTATGAGTGGTTGAGATAGTGAGACTTTTCTTTCTTATGGTTCAGTGTACACAGACTTTTTTCATGCACAAAATTATTAAAAATATTGTAAAAAGTTTCAGGCTTTGCAAATTTCATGTTTAGACTTTGGTCCCATCTCCAAAATACCTCATTGCAAATATATGCAAATAAATCCAAAATCCATAAAAATCCATAATCTGAAATATTTCTGCTTCTGAGCATTTTAGTTAAGGGATGCTCAGTCTGTATGTTGAGTGACTGCCCCCCAACTAATAAAAGGGAAATGGAGACAAGGTGAGCAAGATACAGATATTATCAATGTTTATTTGGTTTCCTAGCTGACTCTTACATAGAAAATTAGCCTGTCTAAGTCATATGTTCATCCTAGCCTCCTTCCATAACATAATTCCTGGATTATGATAGGTTTAAAAGTAGTTGAGTTGTTGTTGCTTTTGGGTACCTTGGTCAAATGTGACCAAGCATGTTGCAATCATTCCTGAAAATATTTGATTTGTGATTTTAAATTTATGAGGTAAGG